GGGGCAGCCCTAGCGCTCTGTTATGGAGGAGAAGGGCGTTCAGCAGCGCGTGGCACGAGGTAGGACGCGCGTCGGCCATGGCGGGACGCGCTCCGGTGCATGGCGTCCACGAAGACAAACTGTCGAGCACGTGGCGCGCGCCGGAGTTGACATGGTGGGGAGCCAATTTGGGCCACTTCCGGGCTGAATCAGTCCTTGGGCCAAAAATGAAGTTTGCTCACCTCGGCCTACTCTACGTTTCTCATTTAAGGTGCCTGATCATTTGAGCTCTGTAACAGCGGGTAATTAAGCCTCAAAATGACAGTGTCAACATGTTGATAACGGTCACGGGAACTCGCCTTCAGAGGTCAAAACTCGGTCAAACTCAGTGCAACTTTTTGCATGCTCTTCTCCATAATATAACATTCAACTTTTATTTTTGGACCAACTCAAGTTGCTTAATGAATTTCGGAGAACGCGGAATGCCAACGTCGTTGCTTAGCGAAACTCCAGACTTAGAATATTTCTAAGTGCTGAAATCAGCAGCAGGTTCCCACTTCGAGCCTCTGTTTGACTTATTTCCAAGTTGATCTAGCTCTTGGTCCAAAAACAAAGTTTGTTCTACATGATATGGACTACAACTTTCATTTAAGGTCCAACCTCAAAACTGGTATAGAACCTATTGTTCTACTTTGACCAAAGTAGGATCACGATGAAGCTTAAATTATCCTTTTTGATCCATTGGAGCATTTTCTTGGCATTTGCCCAACATGAACCCTTCATGACTTTTGTTGTAGAGTTCATCTAGAGTCATTTTGGCAAGGTTGCAAGGTTTGGTTGACATCTCATGTTCTCATTCACTTAATAGTGCAATTCAAGCACTTAGTAAAATCATTCCAACAAGGATATAACTTATCATTTCATGTGACTTTTTTATTCCAAACTTCATGAAACTTTTCGAGTGTCCAATATAGATGGGTATTGATGTGAGACACATGAAGATATCCCAATCACACCACCCAAGCATATATCTTGAAAAGGGGTCTATAGGCGAGCAAAAGGTGCAATATCCAAGTTTAGGTTGGGGCTCGTTTCTATAGGTTTGACCTTGACATCTTCATCATCACTTAATATACCATGTTTTAGCTCAAACCCATTGCTTAACTGGTGGCAAACACCTGGGGTGTTACAACCATTTATTCTTGTTGTGGGTTCTATAGAATACTCGTATTTGAAATCTACAATTTAAAATTAAAATTCCTGAAATTTGCATGAGCATCAATAAAAAATAATATATAGGAAAAAAGTCCTCACAAGCTCACCTTTATCATTGAACATTCTAGCTTCATCATCCTCGTAGATGTCAGGGCAATCTTCATTTGGGTTCAGTTTATCTAAATCATTTTCTATTGAAAAAATATTAGACCATTACTCATTGCATATACAATGTATTTTTGGGATGTACAAGTACATAGTTTAAACTTTTTATACCCTCTATTCCATGCATCGTGTCTTCTGGTTCCCAAATGCCAGAATTTAAAGCTCCTTGATCAACTTTTTTATGTGCAAGATAATCACGTTGATATACATCTTTTCTAACACCTAAAACAGATAGGATTAAGCAGGAAACATTACTACCATACCTGAAATGTTTGATACTACATGTATAGGTGAAAATATATTAGTATCATGCCTAAGATATTTACATGTTTGACACTACATGTATAGTTAAAAATATATTAGTATCATACCTGACATATTAAGGGTTGATGCTTAGAATTTCTTGGACTTGGCGGCAGCACTCAACTTAGCTCGATAATTACGTTGATACTCACGTTTTTTAGTAAGGACCTCATCCTTTTTATTACCAGGCATTGCATGCCTATACCTCTTCATGGCCATGTGCTTTAGAGTGCCCTGATCTTCACGAGTGCCTTGATCTAAAAGACTCAAAAATATTTGAAAGTGCTATTTTTGCAAAAATGAACAGTGGCAACAATTGAGAGTGAAGACCAGAAACAAAAAAGAAGAGCAGAAACAAAAAAGTGGAGAGCAAAAACCAAAGCAAAATACCTATATTATCAACTTGTGAAGTCATGCCCCATTTCCTCTTACAAGAGTTGCCTTTATCATCCATTCTAGTATTGGTGATTTCAGATGATGCAATCAATTTGGATGCATTAGCCTTGGCCTTTAGACGAGCCCGATGACTACGTTGGTACTGACGATTTTTTTCCTGAAATTCCTCCTTGTGGTTAGGCAATGCAGCATACCTTTCTCGTTGATACTCACGATTTTTGGCCTGAGCTTCCTCCTTCTTAGCTGTGATTTCAGATGGTGCAATCAATTTGGATGCATTAGCCTCGGCCTTCAGACGAGCCCGACGACTACGCTGATATTCACGTTTCTTGGCTCGAACTTTGTCCTTCTCGTCGCTAGGCATTATTTTTTGCCAACATAAGGAAACTAAATCACATAAATCATTATAATAAATGAAGAAATTTTGGTTAGAGTAACATATGAAAACATATTTTTCACAGGCAGAGGATAAAGTTATGAATTTAGCAAAATTAATTTTGCAGTATCCATTCCACCATTTCCAAACTATGACCAACCATCCTGCCGGATTTTCCTAATCACCATGTTACTAAAAAGATTACCATCTCACATGTTGCATAGATCATTAATTATGATTAAAATTATACCTTCCTAGCCCAAGACTACAAACTAAGCACTGACTTCTACCCATCCAAAACCCAGGTTACAAGGATGATATATCAAATCTAGTAAACCCAAACATGGGATTCAAATTAAGACTCTACATGCAACTAATGGTCTAACTACACTAACTCAAAATACATATTATAAAGTTTACGAACGCGTAGTACTCATTGATACGAACCCATGAGCGCAAGAATCGCCTGAAACACATTTGAATAAGAAAGGAGGTAGAAAACTAATTCTTTTGGGAGGTTTATTGCTGACAGGGACGTATACCGTATTATCTGTAGATGACAGGGGGTAGCAGATGATTTTCGCAAGGCACGGAAAACAGTGATTTTATTTGGAACGAACACAGGGGCTAGAGTGTAAAGCTGCGCGCACTATGCTGTGGTCTCGGTCCATGAACCGTGGACCGGTGGTGTGGTGTGCCTGCGGTTCACCGTGAACCATGTCCACGAGTGAAGGGTTAAGAAAGGAGGTAGAAAACTAATTCGTTTAGGAGGTTTATTGCTGATAGGGACGTATGCCGTATTATCTGTAGATGATAGGGGTAGCAGATGATTTTCGCAAGGCACAGAAAACAGTGATTTATTTGGAACGAACACAGGGGCTAGAGTGTAAAGCTGCGCTCATTATGCTGCGGTCCCGGTCCATGAACCGTGGACCGGTGGTGTGGTGTGCCTGCGGTTCACCGTGAACCATGTCCACGAGTGAAGCGTTATGGCCTTTTAATCCTGGCCGCAGGTCAAGACATGGACGGTTGTGGGTATGTGCATGTATACATGTATACAGGTGATATTTCTGGTTTTGTTTTTCTACAAGAAAACGGCCATAGCATGCATGACATCGTGGTGATGTCATCAAGCTAATAAGGACCAAAGGCACACACGGCCGGCTGCTTTGCTCTGCCTGCTCGTGTGCCATGATCACCGGCGAGGTGAGATCGCCCGAAAATGACGAACCGGTGCTGTCGTTCACGAAACTCGACGCGGAAAAAAGCACTGGGAGGAAGAGAGGGCGTTACCGCGAACTCGATGAGACTGATCTAGACGTGGGTGCACGTGTCAATCAAAGTAAGTGGGTAGAAATATTTTTAGGTAACAAATGATTTCCAATTCCTTTCCTCCTTTATAGTATTGATAAAGCTAGTTAATATTAAAATTAGTTGACTTTTTAAAATGGAGACATGCATTTGAATATTAGAATGTATAAGCGTCCGACACGAGACTTCCTCCTCGCTCGCTCGCTCGCCAGTGGCCACCGCCACCGTCACCGTTCCGCGGTCTACTGCAGAGACAGAGTTGCAGCAGCTGCTGCCTTGGAACTTGGAAGCGTTCCAAGAAACCCCTCCTAGTGGCCAGTGGGAGCCTCCCACCGCGCAGCGCCACGTCTTCCGGCCGGCCCAGTCAAAACCAAACCCTCCGGGGCGGGCCGCACGGGCCGCAGGTCCCTTGCCCTTGGTCGTTGCGCCCGCGCCCGTCCGCAAAAGCCTCGCCTCGCCTTTTCTTGTCCTGAAGCCACCCAAGCCGCACGGAAAGGTTCGCCTTTTCCTGCCTGCCTGCCCCTCGCTCGCTCTCGGCTCCCAGAACTCAAATCCCATTTCCACTTCTTCTTGGTATAGTAGGTCGATCGGTTGATCGATCCGCCGGAACGAACCAACAAGGTTCGGATCCTGTCGTGTGTCCATGGGGACGACGGCGACGGCGAGGCGGCTGCTGCTGCTCCTGGCGCTGGCGCTGGCGCTCGCGGCGCACCGGGCGGCGGCGCGGTTCGTGGTGGAGAAGAACAGCCTGCGGGTCACGTCCCCGGCCGCGCTCCGGGGCGTCTACGAGTGCGCCATCGGCAACTTCGGCATGCCGCAGTACGGCGGCACCATGCACGGCGTCGTCGTCTACCCCAAGGCCGACGCCAAGGCCTGCAGGCCCTTCGACGACTCCGGCCTCTCCTTCAAGCCCAAGCCCGGCAGCCTGCCCGTCTTCCTGCTCGTCGATCGCGGAGGTACGGTGATCCCCGGCCATCCATCAGCCCTACCTTTAATTAATTTCATTTCTTTGATTTGATTGAATCTACCATGATCGAGGAGATTATATTAAATAAACATAGAATTCTCTGTGCACATGTGCACTGTAGAAATGTCCATCGGCAATTTATTTGGGTTTGTTATTACGTGTGCTTTCGCGTCCCATTTGTCCTCTCGAGCGACTAGTAACATAGGAGTATACCGCGAGATCAATAGTTTAAAATATACTGTAGTGCACGTGTTAATTTTGAATGATCTGGCTCGAACTTGGAAGTCTTTCTAGTTTCTACCTTTTGAAAATATATATAATCGGTTCAGTCTGAACTCATGTTCTTGGGGGCACACGGCTTCCTCGTCCGAAGGTTAACACAAGTCTTTGTCAGAGAGTTTACCCACACAACTTTTTTCACGTTCTTTTTATTTGCGGAAACAGTACGTGGTTTTTTAATCTTTCCATTCACGTGTCAGCTAGGTAATATAGAGTATTTGCGTAATTCACAATGGAATCCGTTCCCAAGTAGCACTGCACTTGTTCCCCTGAATTGTTTTACATGGCTATATATTCCTGCTCCGGTATGCCAAGACTTAACGTCACAGACTGGCAGTGAAAGGTTTTGTTAATTTTTTCTTGGACAACTAGTGCGTTTTGAGAAAGATTTAGGTGCACTTTTGGAGGTGTTGTGCCTTGAGTGAGCCAGGACTTATTAGAGACCTAGTTTGAGGCTTTGCTTGTCCCAGTTGTTTAGTTCTATGTCTCCATAAGATTCTTCTCTTTATTCTAAAAAAAAAGATTCTTCTCTTTATTCTAAAAAAAAAGATTCTTCTCTTTCTTGTGATAAGAATAGATCGACCTGTGTCATCAAAGTTTACAACTGATTCATGGGTTTAATTAAATTTTTTATTTTGGATTGTTTTTCGAAATTGAAATTGTAGAATCGTTTGTGGTGTGCAGACTGCTACTTCACAACCAAGGGATGGAATGCACAAAACGCTGGAGCTGCAGCAGTTCTTGTTGCCGACGACAAAGTCGAGCCTTTGATCACAATGGATTCTCCAGAATCCAGTGGCACAGAGCACATAGTGAACATCACAATTCCTTCAGCACTTGTGACCAAGAGATTTGGAGATGACCTCAGGAAAGCACTGCAAAATGGAGAAATGGTGAATGTCCTTCTGGACTGGAGGGAATCTCTGCCCCATCCTGATGAGCGTGTGGAGTATGAATTCTGGACAAACAGCAACGATGAATGCGGCGCTAAATGTGACATGCAAATGAACTTCGTAAGGAGCTTCAGAGGAATAGCGCAGGCCCTTGAGAAAAGGGGTTACACCCAGTTCACCCCTCACTATATCACATGGTATTGTCCAGAAGCTTTTATCCTGAGCAAACAGTGCAAGTCACAATGTATCAATCATGGGAGATATTGCGCACCAGACCCAGAGCAGGATTTCAGCATTGGATATGACGGCAAAGATGTCGTGGTTCAGAACCTGATTCAAATTTGCGTGTTCAGAGTTGCCAATGAAACTCGCAGGCCGTGGATGTGGTGGGATTATGTGCACGACTTTGCTGTTAGGTGCCCAATGAAGGAGAAGAAATACACACGTGAATGTGCAAATGGTGTTATCAATTCACTTGGTGGGTCTTGTAAACTTTATCCACGTGACTTGATTATATACGAAAAAAATGAAGGTATCTTTGCTGTAAATTTATTCATCTGTTGTTTCTATAGGATTGGACATTGAGAAAATCAACAAGTGTGTTGGAGATCCTGACGCCGATAAAGAAAATCCAGTACTCAAAGCAGAACAGGATGCTCAAGTAAGATAAACCATTAGATTGTCAGGGGTTCCTTCCATATATTTTTAGTTTGTTCTTTGGTTGGGTGATCTTTATGCTTTTTTTTAAACAATTACCTTTATGCTTTCGATCCTTTAGATTGGGCATGGTTCTCGCGGCGATGTAACTATACTGCCTACTCTTGTCGTCAATAACAGACAATACAGAGGTATGCCACATCTCATCATGTGCAGTTAGTCTTCTATGCCTCAACACCGTTTATGCCATCATTTTAATCTTCCCTTTAGGTAAACTGGAAAAAAGATCAGTGCTAAAAGCAGTATGCTCGGGATTCGAGGAGACAACTGAACCTGATGTCTGTTTGCGCGAAGGTTTGTGAGATTTTCCCTTTTTTGTTAAAGAACTGTACCTGGACTTCTTCTGATGCTGCATTCCTTTTCTGTGGGGTGGCTTCTCTATTTTGCAGATATTGAGACAAATGAATGTTTGGAGAACAATGGAGGTTGCTGGTTAGACAAGGCTACCAATGTTTCTGCGTGCAAGGTACAATTTTGCATTTTTGTGGGGTTTCTGGGTGTGGGGGTGTTACCTTATTCATCATTGTTCATGACTGAGTACACATTTATAATTTATTGAGATTTATATTGTAGGATACCTTCCGTGGTCGTGTTTGTGAATGCCCTATTGTCAATGGTGTAAAGTTTATAGGTGATGGGTACAGCCACTGTGAAGGTAATACTTCCATATTTACCATCTTTTCTCATGTCGAAGTTTGAACTTAGTTTTCCAATCATGTCATTTTATGCTAATTGGCTTGCCTTTGGCAGCTTCTGGTCTTGGTAGGTGCCAGATCAACAATGGGGGCTGCTGGAATGAGACTAGGAACGGGAAGACTGTC